CCATCTTTCCATCCCCACCAGGCGGTTTAACGTTTGTTTCCTACCAACCGGACGCGAGGACGAGTGTCCCGTGCTCGAATTATGTAATCCCGCACTTTCGTCGGCGCCTCTTATGTCAGTGCGGCCATACAGTTATGGTACTCGTGGTGAAGCGTCGCTTATTTCTTCTCTTTCTCTCTCTCTCTTTCTCTCTTTTTTGCTCCTTTCCCCCGTTTTTTTCATTCCCTACGTGAAATTAATTTTCCACGACGACAGTCGATCGTGTGAGAGAGTAGAAGCGAAGACGAGCCACCGCTCTGTGTTCCCCACGACGAGATTGAGCTGCCGGCATCTGTTGTAACGTGTCATCGCGACGTAATGCGCCGTGAATTTCTGCAAATTTATCAAGGCGCATTAAAACGATTAATATCGCTCGATTTGCTCCATTTCACTGTACAGCACGGTAATCGTATTGTGTTGCTGCCGAATACGTTTTACGGAGAGAATCGATTCGACGCGTTCATTGCCGCCTTTAACTTTGAATGCCGAGCACGCTTCTTAATTATGTATAATCAATTAAAGATGTATTTCTCGTATAGACTTTGCAAAAAGCAACTGAAAATTAGGAATACGCTAGTAATTATATATTTTATGTAGAAACATGTGGTATACATACGAAGTAGTTGAATGACAACATATTTTTATCTTAAGTGTTAAGTTGGCATAAAATGTTTATCGTGATTATCGTTTATTATTAAATAAAACAAAAAATTAAATTGTTCCATTTCGAAAAATTAATAATTTTTACAAATAAAATAAACGAAATCAACTGAATTTTTTTTTCAAATATCTCACTAGAGAAAGGGGACTTTTTGTTTTTTCTTTTAACGTCCAGACTTCTCATAAAAACTCATCAGAAAAATGACAAGTTATTTGTATCGACCTGATGCATTCGGTCTATAGATAAAATGTTGATTTTGATTTATGGATCAGCCGACTAGCAACCTCGCATTGATAAATTTGCTGTTGGTCACGCGAATCTAAAGTATTCAAGCAAAAGCACACGCGGCCGAAACGTGCGTGGCAAGTTACACGCTTACGGTAAATATCTCTATCGTGTTGAAATAAATATCTATCGCGATTTATTAAGTCAAAGAGAAAGTCTTGTGATATCGCAATGCCATCAATGATCCGCGGTGGCGTAAGGAGAGTGGGGACATCGCTCTCGGCCTTTCACCCTGCCGAATATTCGTAAAGTGGTTTCAGGTGTAGCGCCTCTCAAAAATTACGCTCGATCTCCGGCGAGTACAAATGGCGCTCATAATTTTACGTTTTACGTCCCGACATTGATAAGTGCACTTTTTTGTAGCCGGTGGCAATGCCGGCCAATTAAAGGGGTTCCTCGGGAAACACGACTTCCAGCTTTCAATTACGCCCTGCGAAGCTGTTTCCTTCAATTACGCCTAAAAACTGAGCGAGCCCGTAATTCCGCCGCGATAATGACGCATTTCGAGAATTAGTCCAATTAAACGGGATTATTTGCGCTTCTCGGAGGGGCAAAATGTGCTAGGCCGTCTACGTCGCGCGAGGTGTTAGATTAGGTTCAGACGAAGGTGATTACTCGGCCCGGTGATAATTATTGGTGTTATTGTCGCCGCGCCGGTGTCGCTTCAGTGCGCAATAGGTATTGCCGGTTGTCGGACATATCGATCGCGTGTACCGCCCGACGTGTGTACCAATGTGTCTACTAATGTGTTACACTTGAGACCGCCGCGACGTTAATGCGCGATCAAACGTGAAACGGCGGGCGTCTGTTTTGACAGAGAGAAAGCACGGTGTACTTGATGCGCGCCATGCGTGGAGAATTCCTATTCCGAATAAAAACACAGGTTGTATAAGCGCGAAGGCCCATTAGATGTTTGCCCGTGATAAACAGTGTCACAACAACGTTGAATAAACCGACATGATAACCCAGAAATTTTTGTACCGCGCTTCTGTGCCCGGCTCGACATAATCCAACACATTTTTTCCCGGGTTTGTCACAAAAACTTGCTGTATCGTGCCATTATCTCGGCCGTTTACGACTTGAACGGTGCCGCACATATTGCGCATATTTTAGCACACACCGAAAGAGAATAGAACAATTTTATGTTACGGGGAGGCGCGACAATTCTCGAACGAAAAAGTCATCTTACCGTGTGAGTGTAGCATAAGCTGTTATTAATAACAGATGGTTCAATATTCTTGAGACCAATGTGTCGGTAAAAATTCGACAAAAATTGCAAGTGTAAGTCGTGAAGTTAGGGTCATCGTACATGCAATGGCATAGCTGCATATGCATAGTATAAGAAGTCGCCATATTGATGCTCGATGCTAATATTCGGTGCTCATTGGTCCATGATCTTATGCTATGCATATGCAATTATGTTATTTCATATGCTATAATCCTTACATGAAGCGGGATCAGTAAACCATAAATGTTTGAAACTATGGGCTTTAGTTTGAGCAGCCGAGATGATGAGATGGTTGCAGCATTAAACGAGTTTCGTGAAAATTTCGCGAAACTTGCACTGTACACGGCGAAATATTGTCTAACTGTTCGTGCAATTTCTGGATATTTATAATCAGCGATTATATATACGAAAACTCCTTTGTTAAGGACTATTGTATCTCTTCATAACAAAAATGTAATTTCATTCCGCAAAATACAAAATTTTTTAACTTAATTCTTGGTTGTTTGTGCAATTTCAACTCTCTTCAAGAGTGGTATGTATGACGTATAAATGGAATATTTTTTCCCTAAAATTTTATTATTTTCTAACAGGAAATTATTCTCAAACAGGAATTTATCCAAAATTTACTGAATATAAACAATATAAATAATAATTTAACTATTTTGTTGTAATTCATCATAGTATTTCATTTTCCTATGAGAGTAGCTTCTGCAAAGTTGCACTTTAAGTTTCCAACTTTTTAATATAAAAATAAAAATTCAAGCTTTAATTACAGACCTCCTCGAAATTGTTGTCTGATTTATGCGTTGCCAATTTATAAAAATAGTAAGAAATATGTTTTTGGGGATTTAAACCCCTATTTTTCTCAGAAACCAAACGTGATGGACAGTTGCTGAGATCACATTCGTATTCAGTGGACCCGACTTACCAAGGGACGACCCTTCAGTGCAATTGAAATTGGTCAAAATATGTAACACAGTGTAATCAACGGTGATTAGCGTGCTAATAGGCACGACGGTTTCGGCGGGACACCGTGTATAAGGACACACGTGGCCGGTTCGCCGTTGTGAGAGCCCACGCGGATCGAGATCCCGCGATCCACGAACCGAGGCATAATCTCGTCGCACCGCGGGCTTTACGCTTCGTAACAATGCTCCGACTTTCTCCGTCACTTTCATTTTCGTTGGTCGGCTGGTCGACTCTCCCGCTTCTCTCTCGCTTGGATTAAGAAATAGTGCGTGCCCCTCCGCCATGCCCCGAGCATGAACCGGCCTGGTGCCTCCTAAGCGTCGCGCTGCGCTGCGCTTACCGGGTCCTCGGTCCGCCTCCGCTCGGCACTCGCGAATTTAGAAAGGGTTCTCCTACTTCCTTCGCTCCTCGTGTGCTGCCTCGCGTTCCGTACTGGTACCTTCGGGTTGTGCTGTACCTCGTGGAGAACGCGAGCCGTCCGCGCAACGCGCCCTTTTTCTACTTCGCGCTGAGTCATCGACATTAACGGCCGATTTTTCAATGGAAATTTCAACCTAGATCAAACGCATCACTGGAATAGAGTGCGAACAAATCTAAGTTTAAGCTATTTTGGGTAACTTGATTTCAACTATTCGAGAATAATGCCTCAATCTGTACATTTTTAAGCGATTTAAAGAAAGAAATAAGATATCGCAAACGAAGATATCAATCAAAAAATAGGAAAAAGGGCAATTCGAGTTCAAGTACAGATAGTAGATCAAGGACTGATAGTGCTATATACCATATGGGTAAAAAACCTTCCTTGTGTTAGGAAATCGTGTAATATTTATTGAACATGAATAATTAATATAAAACAATCAAATTTTTATTTAGCATTTATTTCAATAAATATTACACGATTTCCTAACACAAGGAAGGTTTTTTACCCATATGGTATATAGCACTATTAATCCTGTGCTTGAACTTGAATTGCCCTTTTTCCTATTTTTTGATTTTTAAGCGACTTTAAGAAAGTTCTCGGTTTGTAAAGTAAAAGTATAGTGTCCGGACAAACAGCTAATCTTGGACATTTTTATTGTTTGAGTTTTTAAGTATGAATATATATATATATATATATATATATATATATATATATATATATTTAAATTTGCAATATATAATACAACATATTTTGCAACATATAATATTAAATTAAGTAATATTTAATATAATATTAAATTTGCAACATATAATATAACATATTTGCAAAAGTGTAAATATATATATTGAAAATATATATACATCTTATAACATGAAAATTTAAGTGTTCGTATTTAAAAACTAAAATAATAAAAAAGTTCAGAATTAGAGATACTTGTCCGGAAAATAATATTTTTATCTTATTTGCATTTATATACATTGTCTTTCTTGTGACAACCGTATTAGAGATAAAACTCGTATACTGATAAAATGTATAGAATAAAATTATCGAGAGAAAATTTTCTGTGATTTTTCCACAATGTTATCTACATAGTTCAAATATTAATGTCATTGTTCAAGTTTGATTCAGGCGATCTAGAAATTGAGTAATCTTTGAGAATGTCCATTTGCTTGGACATTCTCAAAGATTCGAGAACACTCTAGAAATCTCATTCTACAATTGACAGGCGTGATAATTATGTTACTTCAAGATTATGATATTAGTTCCGGAAAAATTTTAGGATTTAGAACTTTAGTGAAAAGGTTAAAAGGTTATGGTCACACGATCATAGAGGTAAATTGTTCGCCGTCAAGCGCGGCGAAGGAACGAGGCGGGAAAGCACGCATAGTCGCCGGTAATTGATGTTTTTTTAACACGTATATTTCACTTTCCGTTGAAAAATAATGCCGTAAATCGTCGTATAGGAAATAATAGAATCTGCACAAATCAACTCTCTCGGCGCACCGCTGTTAATCGCTAGAGGTATTTACAATGAGTGGAACTGTCGTCCGAGGAAAGGGCTGTTCCTGAGGGACGGGGGGTGTGTGGATGATATCGAAGTGGATGAAACGAACCGGACCCCCGACGCCACCGGATTTTCCTCCCTGAGCGGGCAGGATGGAGGGGAGGGGAGGGGGGCTGGGTATAGAGAGTATGTTCGCGCGGAAACGAGCAGCTTCCATTGTACAGCGATAGCGAAAAAGTGTGCAGTTATATAAGCCTACCCTGTTCCTCCATTCGAAAAATAAAGAAAGAAAGAAAACATTCATGGAACACGAATACATCATAGAACCCGACGATTTTCGTTAAACGCACAGCTTTAGGAGCGTCACGATAAATAGTAGCGAGCGATAGTTATTAAATAGCGATATCAATAATTATTAGATGCACCTGGCAGTAGTTACGTGAAGAGATCCATAAGTTGTTCTCGCAAACACTTGCGCGGTATAAATCGATAGAGTTGGAAAGATTGTTGATGATGATGAAGAGGAGGAGGAGGAGGAGAAAAGGGGGGTTAGAGGAGGAGGGCAAGGAACGACGAGTAAAGGACAGTGCGATAAAGTGGTTGTGGTCGTGGTCAGGAACATGCGACATTTATACATCGAGTACATTTAAGTGTGTCTCGCGTTACCTCGCGCCGCAAATACGAGCCTCGCTCGTTAGTTTTCGCACGATTTGCGCTCGTTGCTGAAATTCGCAACGAAAAATTTTGTCGTGATTCAATACAGATCGTCCAGGGAAAATGGTAAACGAGCGATTCGGTACATCCGTACCATCATTTCTCCTTTCAACGAGATGAAACTATGAGAACTCGGCGGGTTCTCCGCGTGTAGTCACGTCCAATTTCGAGATCCGCTTGCAGCAGAAATTCAAGTCCGATTTGAAAGTAGGAATGTAACAATTAGCACTGATTATCGCTCCTATCTCTGATCGAATTGCCTTCTTCACCCGTAATATATAGCTTCGCCGTTAAAAAGAAAGGCGGCGAGCCTGGTAGGATATCCTGCTGTAATATCGGCGTTATAATGTTGCTCCGCTGTACAGTTTAATTTTATCCTGTGAGATCAGTGTTGCATGTTTAATATACATCGATAAAGACGTTTTCCCCGTCCTCCGTCCCGTTCGTATGCCTTGCCAGCTTCAGCTAATACTTGCGCAATTACGCCCGCGACGGGGAAAGATGTGGAGTAAGCGCAATTGAACTAATACGATTACGCGTAATACGCACGTGTCAAACGTTTACTCCTGCTATTCGTAATGCATAACATTCTGATGAAAACGGAAAGCGGGATATATCACGAGGACTACTTCGGGGCGTAACTTAGACACGGAAAAAAACTGCTAACGCGGATCTACAGCTTCATGAATAAACGAAAGATTATATTAGAGCAGAGTTCGATCATTAATATGTATCCCTATTGTGTGTGTTTCTTTTTTATGTAGTCCAAATGTTAATTATCCTTTAAAGGCGCCAGGAGTAGCCGGTTAGCAGGTTCTAACTCCATTTCCCTTGGTAATGTCTTTCTATGATGGAAATGTCACGGCGAAACCTTTCACCGTGTTCATCGCTGACATCGACGGTAATTTTATTTACAACAAACAATAAAGCGACGCCACGTAAAAAATTCAAATAGCAGGGAAATGTTAGACACTCAACATCACCGATGAGACACTCTCTTGGGTAGATCGATCGGGCGAGTGTCTCATCAGCTCGATCTGATCTCATCAGTTCGTCTAAAACGCATATTCTTGATAATGTTGTCAAATTATGTATTACTTATCAATATTATCAATATCATTGATAATATTATCAATATCAATTAATATATTATTGTATAACAATGACAATAATGATGACAAAGATATATCTTTCATCATTATTTCTCATTGTTCTTGTTATCATTGTTCTCATTGTCCTTGTTCATCAAATGTTCATTATTTATTTTTAATTTATCTTATCTTAGATTCTTATCTTAGATTTGTTATCTTATAGATCTCTACAATATTACCGATCCAATAACCGGATCCAATAACCGATCCAATGAAGGAAAGGATGTATCATTCCTTTTTTATCATGTTTTTGATATTCTTTCCCATAAATTAATTTTCAGAGCATCGTAGAGCAATTTATCACGAAACATTGGTATATGGTTGCCAATCGACACCTGGTATATGATACGCATAATTGGGCATTAATTGATTAAAATATTCTTTAGCTAAAATAATCGACAAATCAATCGTTTACGTAAAATCACACAAATAATTTCGTCGATTGATGAAATTAATTATTAATCAGTGTGCAATCAAATATATCGAAGTTCGATTGACTTTTAAAGTAAATAAAAGGTTTATTCGTGTCTGGGCACTTTGCACTTGTTCTTACCCCGGAAGCTCTCTCTCTCTCTCTCTCTCTCTCTCTCTCTCTCTCTCTCTCTGTCTCTCTCTAAAGTTTCATATATACTCCAAAAACTTAGTATAGCAAAAGCACTTGAGACTTAGACAAAATTCGTCAATTACTATCTGAATAGCAACCGGGAATTAATCGACCCTGCAAATGAGTAATATTTGTACTCACTTAACATGTACTTTTTACGTAGTGAAATTTTGTTTTTCTTTATATTTTTTTGGCATATTTTTGTATATTTTATTATTATATTGTATATTTTTTAATTTTGACGAGGCTGTTAAACTGGACAAAAACGGAAATGGTTAATAAAGTTTTTGCGAATAAATGTGTTTTCTGATTTCTTATGTTTCTTGTGTTTCTTACTTTTTTTGTTACTCTTATATAATGCGTAAAAATGTTTCTTTTAATGCTATTTAGCCTGAATTTTTATACAGAAATACGTCATTTTCATATACTAAAAGTAGCTTTTTTCAAGATGTACTTTTTCTTTTATTAATCGTTATGATCTTAAATATAAAACCGCATATCTTTCTCTTTAGAAAAATTACAAAAGTTATTATTTCTTAAACAAAGTATCGTTTCTCGCAGATCCTTGCTAAAAAAAAAACAATTAGGAGATTATATACTATTTAATTTTTTGGTCTCATAATCTATTAGCTAAGACTTGATAGTTTGCTGCATGAATGTTTTCAGAACTTTTCAATAATTTTTAAATTAAAAAATTCTCCCTAATCACTATTAAGTTGCCAAAAATACCTATTCACCGCATAAGGGTTAATAATGTCATTATTCGATGAGATATTTGTGATTTTACATATGACGACTAATTAATTTTGATTATTGATTCGTCAATTAAATCGTTCGAAGAAAATTTTCATCGATGAATGCCCAATATTGGTGGCACATAATAAGGAGCGAAAGTGGCCGAGCCACGAGGTAAGAATCCGGACAACTTCGCGCGCGCTACCATTTTCCCAAGACCTGACATTAAAATCCATCGTCGACGTTTTGCGAGATTCGAGCTTGCTAGCGCGGGTCACGGGGAATCGAAATGATTTTCGCAGTGTAGCTAATAAGTACCTAACTACAAAGTACGTATAGTTCGACCGCCCATTTACGCAACAACGTGTGTGTGTGTGTGTGCGTGTGTGTGTGTGTGTGTGTATGTATGTTGTGTGTGTGTGTGTGTTAGTCGAAGGTCAGACACAACAATAGGATTCCTAAGTGTTCCGAGCTTTGCCTCTGCTCTCTCCGTCGTTCCGGTCACGATTATACGAGGTTTTGCAATCGCGATTGTTAATGAATAATGATCGAGCGACTCGATCGGGCTGTGCGCGCGCGCCTTTTCTGCGCGGCTCACGCGTTCGATCGGGGCATTTTTGTTTCCTTCTTTCTCACAGCGCGGAAAAACTTCGCGCGACTTAACGAAGCGCGGGCCCGATCCAAGGTGCGACGCGGACTCTCGTAAAAGCTGAGTGAATGAAAACGCATCGACCTAATTAATCGATCCCGCGCGTTTTACAGCCGCCTTACGCAACGACGACTGTGTGTACGTGTGCCTGAATGTGCGCACAGAAAAAAAAGATTTTCTAATATATGGACAACCAAAAATATTAACTGCAGGAGCAAATTTTCTTGCTTTCATAGCAAAGTTATTTAGTTAGCTAAAAGATTTGCTAATATATATATTAATTTTTTTTTCCGTGCGAATTTGTGTGTGTGTGTGAATGTGTGTGTGTGGGTTAGTGTGTGTTGACGTGTTACATAATTTTATTAGTAATTTAATATTGTCGTACTTTCAGAGAAATATAAAATTATCTCGCTACACCAGACATTAAAATTTGCGACTCGGTAATTTCGATTTTTACACTCTACCATCTATTAATATACGGTCGGAGACGCGACTCCACGGCGGAAATTGTTCGAACGATTCACGTGCGTTTTTAGCTACTTTCACTTCAACGTGCGCCGTTATCATGGAGATACACACCGTTCGGATGGAGAGACGTATACTTACAGCATATCACCACATAATAAATGTATGGATCTATCCCGTCCCAATCGGACGCTATTTTTTCTGCTTTCCTTCTTCTCTCTTCTTCATTTCCTCTTCATGCTCTCGCAGTACGTTGAATGAGAGCCATGAGGGGGTCCTTCATTGGACTGAATGCGTAGCTTTCATCATGGAAATTAAGCGATTCGATGTTCACGCATTAAGACGGCCATCTATTTACAGACGTTAATGAATACAGCGTGAAGAGCAGCGACATTTTCATTCAGTCGTCTGCATCTCGCGTTAACTGCATCGAGAAGATAAAGAATTGCTACGTCGCGGGATTACTCCGTCTACGGACCAAGAAGACAACATCTTGTCTGGCGCGAAACATGTTAAAAAGTCGTATCCGCGAATCCTTCAAATCCTTACAAGACGCATTTGCACCAAACCAAATGTGAGATTACCCGACAGAATACAGAGCTAGTCGGATCTTTTTTTCGCGCAGCGAGCTATTCCATGAAATATTGCTCACAAAAATCAAAGAGACAGGGAAAAAGCGCGACTTCTATAATCTTAAAATTAAAAAATGCTAAGCAAAACTGAATCTATTATTTACGGATGATTTTTTAATTGTGGTTTAAACTTAGATTTGAGTTTAAACTCTGTTAAAACACACATCAAACACGTGTTACAACAGAATTTAAACTTAACACGTTCGCTATCAGGGTTTACTCTAGGAACTCTCCCCACAGACCACCACGTAACTTTTTTTACATAAATATGTAAAACAGACTATTTTAATAATGTATGCGGAGGAAATATTGTAGAAAAAATTAAAATGTGCGAAATTTTTGTAATTTTGTACTATGCAGAATTATAATCGGTATTATCATGTATATTTGGTTAAAATGTTATGCATATTTGACTTTTCACTATAAGATTATTATAATTATTTCCATGTTTTTTATCTCATATATTAGGTATCGTCAAAATTACTATTTCTAGCAATCTTTTATACTACAATTTCGGTATAATCCATCTTTACAAAACACATTATAAAAAGAAATATAATTTTAATGCAATTTTCATCATATTTTCTTCGTGTAGAGAGACAGAAAAAAGTTTTTAATATCACACATATGTAATGTTGGTCTCTCATGAGAAGTCGTTACGTCACATGGATGATACTGATAATGAATGTGTTAAATCCAATTTTAAACAACTATTGATAAATCGGCCCTTAATAATCCGATTAGAAATTTATCCTATAATCCTGACCAGATCAATTCTAAACAGTAATCTGGTTTATATAAAGTGATGTTATCGGATTTTGATAAGTCAGGTAACAAATGTGCACTGAAAAGAAGATTTGATAATAATCTGTTAAGCTTAAATAAAAGTTACTGGATGCTTTAGTTTCAACTACATATGTAGTTTCAACTACATATATAAGTGAATATAATCAAATGACTTAGTAAATATTAATAAATAACCTTAACAAGACTTGCTAACTATTATCATTTTATGTAACAACATTTTATGTATCAACAAACAATTTATTCAATAAAATTATATTTTATATTGAGTTTATCGTATTATGTGATAAATATACAAAATGACTAAAAATTTTGACGATAATCAAACTATTTAGTAATTATCACTAGATTATTTGGTATTACTTGACTAGACCATGCAATTGGCTGAACTAAAGAATTTGTTTTACCAAATCTTTTATAATTATTACAAAATATTGCACTAAAACGCTCAATTAAAAGTGTCTGACAATTGGTACAAGATTTTTTTTCAGTGTAGCAGTCACCTTATTAATCAAGAGGATTATTAATAATTAGAGACCTATAACATCACATTTACACAAGATAACTGATGATCAGATAACTGATCGGGACCAATCTGAACTGATTACCAAATATTATTCTAAAACGCTCGATCAAAAGCATTATTATCACAAGACTTTTTTCGATGTGGCAATCAAGACCTTATTAATAATGATTATTAATAATTAAGATCCTATAACATCACCTTATATAAATTAGATAACTAATTGAGGTCAACCTGATTAAGAGAGCATGGGATGAATTTCCAGTCGGCAATTAACGAAATCTCGTCCTCTCTCGTGTCCGTACGAAACGCCGCTTGTCGATAGATACCGGTTTATCGACCCGCGGTTCCATCTCAATGTCGAAGACAAGACTCCCTCAGAATACTAGCCGGGTTTCGCGTGAATCGCTGCGAATTTAAGAATCGCGCAGGACGTAGGAGCTCGTGTACGTGCCGCGAACGTGCGCTCTAATTGCTATGGACGGATGTATCCGTGTATCGACTTTTAAGCCGTCCGTGTCGCGAGTCCCCTCGCGAGCCGATTAGACGACGTTAATACTCTATTTTGATTCGTGATTAGCTGGAGATCAAGGTACCCGCGTGCCAACGGCGCGCGGCCGCGGCCCACGTATACCGGGTGTGCCTATCGCTAGGGGCAGTGTGTGCGTGTGTCGCAAATGGGCAGCGACGTTCAATTCCATGCGATTTGATTCTCCTCTCCTCTCCTCTCCTCTCACTCTCGCATTTGATTCGCAAACTTGGCGGACGTGTACGTCCTCGGCGTTTCTCGGAACGGGCCTCGAGATCGGGATGGTCCTCTGCGTTATATCCGGCGGCGCGATTCAGTCCAAGTGGATTCGCGCGGCCGTGCTGAATCTGGGCCGATGCAGCCGATGCAAACTGCCGATGACGCGGAGAGACGCGGCGAGTCCGCGCTGACGAGCGATTTTAGATGAATCCGCCCAGCGCGACGTGGAAGTCTTGCAAATAGGCGAGCAGCTGAGGCATGGTTGGCCGATCCCTGGAGAGACCGAGCCAACAGACCGCCATAACGGCGAACAGTTCATCGGGACAAGGTCGCGGTTGAGCCAGTCGATATCCGTCCCGGAGGCACGCCATCATCTCGAACGGGTCCACCTCTACGTACGGCTGCTGGCCCAGTGTCGCCAGTTCCCACAGGAATACGCCGAAGGACCACTTGAAAGCAGAGGAAACAATATCTCGCGATAAAATTGCCAAGTTCGCGCGACGTGCCGCGGTCTGGACGTAATTGCCGGCTTGTCTCCATCAACTGGCCCAGTTTCCGTGACAAAATCCGACCGGCTTTAATGCGCACACATATCCTCTCTGCATGTTCCAATCATGAGGAGTGAATTCGCAGCGCGAACGACCGCGAACGCTGTCGCGATTTCGAAATTTGTACGCGCAAAATTGAGCGTAAAAACGACTCTCTTCGCGAGCGCTTTATTACCGGAATCTGATTGTCTCTGGCGATGCAACTGCGAGTAGAAAACATTTCACTCGAGTGTTTATCTCGCACGCGTAATCCGGCGCGTAGAGTGAAGTGAAAGCTTATTTGCTGTCGCTCGTTTTTAAAAAAGAAAGAAAAAAAAGAAAAAAATGAACAACACGACGGTGCGATATTTGTCGGCATAAATTGCGATCGTACCACATCGGTCGCCGTGCTGTACTGATTGTGCTGGAGACTCTCCAAGGCCATCCAACGTATGGGTCGGTTCTCGTTATCACCGAGACAATGGTAGTCCTGAGGGAAGAGATCTCGAGCCAGGGCAGCGTCAGCCAATCTCACGCGAAGACTGCCCGCTTCGATCAGGCAATTTCTGGCAGCGATATCCCTGGAAACGAATTATCGATCCTGAGGCGGAAACGATCGCGTTGACATTTCGACGATAAACGTGATAAGTGAATCCTACACATCGGAGCCCCGGGACATTGGTCCTTTATTGGCAGCTTAGCGCTGTCCCGACGATAATTCGTTTGAAGAAATATTACCTACATGGCGCAACATCGAAATCCTACTTTCCTACGTTAACAATAATAAACGTTAGCCGGGAGAGTTTTATTTGAAACGGCGTGCTGTTTGAAAAATTCCCGTGACAGTTTCTAGTTGCAGAGTATTGAATTTTATTTTAATGTTCGTGAGAGCACTTGATTCGCTGTAACTATGATAGATACTTGATGTATGTCGTTTGAAGAGATATTTCAACTACATAGAAAGGCATTTGGATACTATTTCTCTGCGTTAAAAATAAACGTTAGCTGCGAAGGCGATTTTACTTGTGAAAAAATGACGTGTTGTCTAAAAGATCCCCGTGATAGCATCGAGTTGCAGAGTATTGAATTTTATTTTAGTGTTCGAGAATATTTGATTCGTTGTAAATACGATAGATACTATGGTAAATAGATAGACAGATACATAGGTAGATACATTAGTTTTTTTTATCTTGTGCTGAACGTTCTAGAAGCGTTTAAACGTTTACAAGAGGTTATTATTGTTAGTTATGCTGTTTAAAAGAAGCGATTATTGTTAGTTAGTAATGTTAATTACACTGTCTCTTAATGATGCTTTTTGAGATACAGTCGTTTACATAACATTTGCAACATTTTTTTTTTGCGAGTTTATAGAAACAAAACTGCGAATCCTTGCACGAGCTTGCGCGTTAAGCCGTTTAGGAGCTCTTAAATTTTTAAATACGTGGTATGCAAAAATAATTTATCAGCAAACATGTAAATATTATCGTATTATATAAACTTGTTCCAAAAGTACCGTAATTTTTATGCAAACAACTATAAGGTAAATGTACCAATGCCTGGACATGTACCAATCTCCGGATATTGTTATTATTTTTATATTTAAATATGAATATTTCAACTTTCAACGTACAATACATACATATTGGTATACATACATTTAATATTTATATTTAATGTCCGTTGAAAGATGAAATATTTAGAGAAATATTCAAAATAATAAGAGTGTCCGAAATTAGGTACACATCCGGGCATTGGGACATTTACCTTAGCTGTGTTTTGAAGCGAATTTTTTAAAGAGAGTTAATGGGGGGAAGAGCGTCAATTCATCTTTAAATTTTGAAATTCCACTATGTAGAGAATAATGGGGCTTGCGAAACTCACGATGTTCGTCGATACAGTCAAATCTAATAATGCTGTAATCAAGGACGGAAATTTAAGTACGTGATGTGCAAAAATAATTTATCAGCAAAAGTGTAAATATCATCGTATTATATAAACTTGTTCCGAAAGTGTCGCAATCTTTATGCAAATGACTGTAGCCGTGTTTTGAAGTAAATTTTTTAAAGAGAGCTAATTGAGAGCAAGCGTCAGTTCATCTTTAAATTTTGAAATTCCACTACATAGAGAATAATGGGCTTGCGAAACTCATTCGTCGATACAGTCAGATCTAATAATGCCGTAATCAAGGTGTGGACGGTAATTTATGCCATCTCACCTGTGCAATAGTCCCCGGCCGTGCAGAAACGCTCCAGCCCTGGCAACCTGTGCGCCAACATGCACCAGGTCTCTAGTCACCGGATGATGATTTCCATCGGTAAGATAGACCTTCAAGTTCAGCTCGCCGGGTGTGCTCGTGTAAGCCAGCAAGGGACACGAGCTGTCCAGACAAGCGGCCGCTAAAGAGGCGATGTTGGCGTGAACTAATCCGGCCAGTTGCGAGCCCTCCACCACCAAAAGAGAGGCTTGGTAAGCGGACGCTACTTCTGAAATGAACACGACTACCCGGTAATCGCGACACTATAATTTTTGCGCTCGCGTATTTAATTACTTCTCTCGGAGAGAGAGAGAAAGAACGCTTTCCACACGAGAAGATCCCCAACAAACGGCGACAAATGAAATAAACCGTCCAAACAAGTGAAGCAATCGAAATTTAAATTAACATTGAAAACAAACGTTCTGCCTAAACAATATTACGTTTTCAGAAACTGAGTTTCGATTACTGGATGTTTTATGCTTCAATACCGAGCAGACAAATGCTGGCTGACTCAGTGAAACGTAGGTAGCCGATGGTAGGTATACCGATTTTCTATTTTATCTTGAACAGATATTCCCTCCCGTTCTAACTGAACCGTGTTTCCCGCAAGGAGAGATTAATGTTGCTCTTAATCATTTATTGATCCAGCAACACACAACCGCTTATTTATTGTTGTTAACTTCAGTTACAAAATCATTGGTTTATCCCTCGGAAAAGCTAAATGTTAATAATTAGAAAGAAAAACATCCGACTCGCATTATACACGATACAACTTTTACATGTATAACATGATTTCTCTACCATTTTTCCGAAATTAGATCTCACCTGTGACTGTCTTTATGATGACTTCCTGATCCCGTCCGGCCAAATCCAAAGAGCCTTTGTAAACGCGACCGAAAGTCCCCTCCTGCACGAGACTACGGCAATATAATGCCGATCTCGAGACCGCGAGCGCCCTGGCCTTCTCGCACGGATCAGTCGACTAAAAATCGACAACATTCTCTGAAGAGTTCTCCTAGGCTACATATGGTTATTTATGGGAAATTTATATATTCATAACTTATATCCCCATAAAAAATGATTTTTTAACAATAAATAAAATATTCCATAATTTTTTACTCGTGATCCTTCAACAACGCATGTTAACGTAATATAGTTATTTGTCAAGATAATTCACATGGTAATTGTTTCTATAAGTATTCCCATATGGAAATTAATGTAACATCCATAAGAACTTGTGACTCCCATATGGAAATTAATGTAACATCCATAAGAACTTGTGACTTAAACAATGAATTAAATCTTCAGTTACATCCATAAGAACTTGTGACTTAAACAATGAATTAAATCTTCAGTTATCTTCTACTTAAGTGATCCTTCAATATTGCATAGGCTGATGTAACATAGTTATCTCTCAAAATATTTGTCGGTCCTTTCTAAAATATCTGACGGAAATTTATATAACATCCATAAGATAGAATTTACGACTTAAACAATAAATTAAATTTCTAATGATTTTCTACTCAAGTGATCCTTCAATAATACATACCAATGCAACATAGTTACTCTCAAGATACATCCCCCACTCAATCTCACAAACAAATAATTATACCAATTACACAGTTGTCCTGAAATGAAATATATTGCAAAATCTCAAGGCAGCGGATCGAGAATAAAAGGAGTGTGAAATGAAAAAATAATTCTTCGGGGACTGAATCGGGGAGGAAGCGCAAAGTGGAATTATACGTATAATTACTGGACTTTAAATCCCGCTTTATCTTTCTCCCTTACTCTTGTGCTCGAGCAGAGGGAGATAAACTCTCCAATTATTTATATGTTGTACTTAACAACTCAGAGAATGGGGGG